TAGGATAGCAGAAGAGCCTGGAGCAAAAGTTCCCTTCCATTGGGTATCATGCAATTGTCAGAGTTCCTTTCCCACAGGTGTTCAATGCTGTCAGCTAGCACAGAGACCAAGACATCCCAAGTCTTGCCCCTAGCAGGAACAGATGCCTGCTAAAGTCCTTTGAGCTGTAAAGTTCTAGAATCCATTTATACACTTCCTGCCTGAGGTCTGTGTACCTGCAGTGCTGGAAGTCCGGCGAGGAACACAGCACTGCTCCCCTAGCTGTTATTGCTTCCATGTAGCTGCTCTCATAGTGCTGGGACTTGAATTTCTTCTCTTTTGTATTTAATGATGTGTGTGTCATTCCTGTATCCCTGGCCTTTGAATTTATCCCTGATATAATTATTGTGTGTGTTGGGAGGTGTTTCCAGCTATCCTTTGTTGCTGCTTTGGTTTGGGGTGTTGTTTTTCTTTCTTTGGCCATCCATCACCATAAGAATTCTCCATAGGACACAATCAAAGTGTTTTGGGGGAAGACGGAGAAGCATCTTTGTAAGGAAGAGCTGCAGTGTTTTTGGTGGCATGACATGCTCTGTTCCAATGTGCTACTATGTTCTCTAGGTTTCTCTTTATAGTTCATCAATCATTAGCTTTTTTTCCATGTCTTCCTATCCTTTCTCCTCCATGTATCTCCCAGAGGGCCCTTTAAAATAACGTTGTTGTTGTTGCTGTTACTACTGCTGTGGAATTATGTTTAAGTACTTCTTAGGTTGTGCTGTGGCTGCTGATGCTGGCATTGTGCTGGGGCTTGGTTGAGGATCCGAGAAAGCTAAAGCAGAGTGCTTTCCTGTACTGGTCTAGACTTGGACAGGGTTGTATGATGGCAGAAGAGATGAGTGATTTGTCCAAGCCACCAGAGAGACCTTAGGACGCTCTCTCATGGTCTAGGAGGATGCCTGAGGAAGGGTCATGTTCATCTCAAGGCCTCCTGGAGCTCCAATAATCTTCTTGAAATTATAGGAAACTTTTATCTAATCTTCTACATATACATATCAATAATGAACCAAAACAGGGTGGCTTTCAATACAATTCCTTTAGTATGGTTTTCTTTTCTTTTTTTTTTTTTTGTTAAGACTTTTTATTTATTCATTTTACAGGTAGACTTACAGACAGAGAGAAAGGTCTTCCTTCCATTGGTTCATCCCCCAAATGGCCACTACGGTTGGACCTGTGTCGATCTGAAGCCAGGAGCCAGGTGCTTCCTCCTGGCCTCCCATGCGGGTGTAGGGGCCCAAACACTTGGGCCATTCTCCACTGCCTTCCTGGGCCACAGCAGAGAGCTGGACCAGAGGAGGAGCAACTGGGACTAGAACTCGGTGCCCATATGGGATTCCAGTGCTACAGGCAGAGTATTAACCAAGTGAGCCATGGCGCCGGGCCCCTAGTATGGTTTTATTATCTAACATCATACCATAAGTATGTGTTGTAACAATAAACATTAATGTTATCAATTTTAGAGTTAGTCCAACATACTTTTTGGATAATAGGGTAACTTTTTAAAGAAGATTTATTTTATTTGAAAAGCAGAGTTAAAAGAGAGAGAGAGGAGAGGGAGAGGGAGAGGGAGAGGGGGAGAGAGAGAGAGAGAGAGAGAATCGTCCATCTGCTGATTCACTCTCCAATGGCTGCAACAGCCAGGGCTTGCCAGATGGAAGCCTGGAGTTAGGAGGCTCCTCTGGGCCTCCCACATGGGTACAAGGGCCCAAGGACTTGGGGCATCTTCTGCTGCTTTCCCAGGCCATAGCAGAGAGCTGGATCTGAAGTGGAGCAGCCAGGACTAGAACCGGCACTCATACGGGTGCCAGCATTACAGGTGAGCTTTACACACTGCACCACAATGCCGGTCCCTTGAGTGACATTTTTGGTGTTTTATAAATAAAAGTATCAGCAGCATACTTGGTGATACATCTTTGCACACTGAGAGTGCAGGAAATGAACTCTTAATAGAGCAGTGAGGACAGCAAGCTTCCTTCTGACTTTTCACAAATAGACTAAGTCTTCCTAGATGCACTGTTTGACATGCTCACTAGGAGCACTTATGAGTATCCATATTCTGTACTTACAGGAAGTCATTACTCATTTTATGTTCACCAAATCTGATACATGATGAGGGGAGAACCATAAATACTGTCGGTTCCCTTTGTTATTTTTTATCATGTAGTTCCTAACTTAGGACTGATTACTCATGACCTACCTTTATTCCCTTAACCTACGTCTGTTAGTCTCAAATGTGTTGCTTTCTTTATAAAAATCTGTTTGAGAGACAGGCATAGAGAGCGTACTCCCATTCACTGATCTATTCCCACCCACTATATCCAGGGTTCTGAAGTTGGGAGTGCAGAACTTAAGCCAAGCCTCCTAAGTGTGTGGCTGGAACCCGATTACTTGAACCATCACTGGTGCCTCCCAAGGTCTGCATTAAGATGAAGCTGGAGGCAGGAGCTTGGGCCAGGAATTACACTTTAGTAGTTTAATGTGGGATTGGGTATTGTGTAATCTTTAGATTAGATGCCCTTCTCACACACTTTTTGTTTCTATGAGATCAGTTTATATGTTTGTTTGTTTTTTATTTTTCTTTTGATAGGCAGAATTAGACAGTGAGAGAAAGACAGAAAGGTCTTCCTTCCGTTGGTTCACCCCCCAAAATGGCTGCTACGGCCAGTGCGCTGCGCTGATCCGAAGCCAGGAACCAGGTGCTCCCTCCTTGCCTCCTATGCTGGTGTAGGGCCCAAGCACTTGGGCCATCCTCCCCTGCTTTCCCAGGCCACGGCAGAGAGCTGGACTGGAAAAGGAGCAACCAGGACAGAATCCGGCACCCCAACCAGGACAAGAACCCGGGGTGCTGGTGCTGCCAGTGGAGGATTAGCCTAGTGAGCAGCAGCACCGGCCTGAGTTTATATATTTGTACAAGAGTTACGTGTATATGTCCAGCAAGTATTTCACATTTTTGTGTCAATTTGTGTATTTTTGTTATCTTGATAGCACAGAAAGTACCATAAATTTGCATGTAGAATAAAGGATATACATAATTTCTTTTGTTCCTCTGGCTTTTTGGGTCAGAGAAAGGTATATGTTTAATTTAAGTACCTTGAAACAACTAAAATTTGGTTTTGTTTAATCTGTGAAGTAAGAATTTAACTTGGCTAAATGTTCCACATGTTTAATCTGTAGGATTAGATGACTTTTCCCCACTGAAATAAAATATAAGCTTTGTTACAAATGCAGAAATATTTTCAAGGCCATTTTACTGGTCTGTTTTATTGCACTTTTTTTTTTTTGGAAGGCAGAGTGGACAGTGAGAGAGAGACAGAGAGAAAGGTCTTCCTTTGCCGTTGGTTCACCCTCCAATGGCCGCCACGGCTGGCGCACTGTGGCCGGTGCACCGCGCTGATCCAAAGGCAGGAGCCAGGTGCTTATCCTGGTCTCCCATGGGGTGCAGGGCCCAAGTACTTGGGCCATCCTCCACTGTTCTCCCTGGCCACAGCTGAGAGCTGGCCTGGAAGAGGGGCAACTGGGACAGAATCCGGCACCCTGACCGGGACTCGAACCTGGTGTGCCAGCGCTGCAAGGCGGAGGATTAGCCTAGTGAGCCATGGAGTCGGCTGTTTTATTGCACTTATTAAAGTAATTCCACTGACACATTTACCTTAAATGTGAGGGTCAGAGGACATCAAATATTCTTTCTAATTCATAATTATCATAGTGCATCTGGTAAAGACATTTCTCCTTTTGTGAGTTTTAATTATTTTCCACAATGCCCCCAACACTGCATTGATTTTCTTGGAATGAATGACTTGAGTATACAGCAGATGTTTCCAAAGAACAAGGTGTGAACTTGTTTGTGAGGTCTGGGTATGCTTTCTTGCAGGTTACAACTTAAAAGTTACCAGTACCTTCTGGCCTTTATATTTGCCATTGAAGAGGTCAACAGGAGCCCACACCTGTTACCCAACGTGTCCCTGGGATTTGGTCTCTACAATGCCATCCATAGTGAATGGAAGACCCTGGAGAGCACCCTGACCTGGTTGTCTGCCGTGGGCAAGGCCATTCCTAATTACACCTGTGTGAGGAAGAGCAAGTCTGTGGCAGTCATTACAGGAAACACAGGGGCGATTTCAGCACAGATAGGGGTGCTGTTGGAACTCTACAAATTCCCTCAGGTAAGGGGAGAAAAATGTCTTTCCTCTTCCAGTGCCTTCTTAGGTGGCTTCAAGAGTATAAGAAGTGAATGGGTTTATGTGTTTTCAAAGCACCAGAATATAACTGTGTATGTTTGTGTGTGTGTCTTCATTGGACTTTTCCTTTTATATATTGCTTTATTAAAAAGGCAGAGTTACAGAGAAGGGGAAAGAGAGCTACAGAGAGAGAGAGAGGAGAGAGAGAGAGAACGTCTTTCATCTGCTGGTTCACTCCCCAAATGTCCACAACAGCCACGGTATGGGCAGGTTGAAGCCAGGAGCCAGGAGTTTCTGCTGGGTCTCCCATGTGGGTGGCCAGGACCCAAGGACATGGGCCATTTTCCTTGCTTTCACAGGCACATTAGCAGGGAGCTGGTTCAGATGTGGAGCAGCCAGGAATCAAACAGGCACACATATAGCTGCCCCACCACAACTTTGCTGGTGGAGAGGAGGTTATGGGTAAAAGGCAGCAAGAAATAATTGTCTATGCACTGTGATACCTTGAAGTGCTGAGCTGCAAAGCTCTCTCAGTCTTCCAGTAACACTCGTAGGGAGAGTGACGTCCTATTAATTGTCTTCCAACACTTCCTCCAATCAACATCCTGCAGTTACTGAATGAAATCTTAGAGCCAAGGGTGTGCATGGAGTGTGGTGCTTCCCTGCAATACGTTCTGAGGTCTTGCTTCTGCAGAACTCATTTTCACTCTAGCTCACCTATGGTCCTTTTGATCAAATTCTGGGAGAAAATCATCAGTTTACCTACCAGAAGCTCCCAGGGAATCATCTCTGGCCCTGGGCATGGTGTCCTTGATGCTGCACTTCCACTGGACGTGGGTGGGGTTGGTCATCGCTGAGGACACCAGGGGCATTCAATTCCTGTGGGATATAAGAGATGAAATGAACAAGAACGAGATCTGTGTGGCCTTTGTGGAAATGCTCTCTGTCATGGGCAAGAGGAATGCACCATCTGATTGGCACTACTACTTTAGAATCTTAGAATCAACTGCAAGTGTAGTGGTCATTTATGGTGACACAAACTCATTAATGAGCCTGAGTTTCTCAAAATATGGGCTCCTTGTGACTTGGAAAGTGTGGATCACGACATCACAATGGGATTTCATCACCAGTGATGTGGAGCTCATGATGGACACATTCCATGGGACTTTGAGTTTTTCACACTCCCACAATGAAATCCCTGGTTTCAAGCATTTTCTCAAGACAGTGAATCCATCTGTGTACCCAGAAGACTTTTATCTCACTAAATTTTGGTTTCTTTACGTTCCCTGCTCGATTTCAAAGTCTGACTGTGAGACGTTGCAGGGCTGTTCTGTGAATGCCTCTCTGGAGGATCTGCCAGTGCACGTCTTTGACATGAGCATGTCTGAAGGGAGTTACCACATCTACAATGCTGTGTATGCCATGGCCCACACCCTTCATGAAACGCTTCTTCAGCGGGTAGAGGTGCAGCCAGTGTGGAATGGAGATGGGTTGATGATGTACCCCTGGCAGGTACTGTATCTTCTCCAGGCAGCTTTGCTGTGTTCCTTGTTGACCTATCACAGTACAGAGTCTGTGCTCACACTTAGCTACATGGTGAATTGCTTTAGGGTTTGATGGGAATGACAGAGTGCTCTGTTGTTACAAAATATGCAGCACGTGTGGCCATTATTCCCTGGCATTTTCAGTGTGCCACATCTATAGCTCTTCTAGCACTGAGGAATTTTACACTGAGTGGCATTACAGAAGCTGGGAAGCTAGTCTGTTCATGACAACATGATGCCAGGCACCAGCAAGGCTAATAAACAAAACTGACCTTAAGGAATTCTGCAAGTGTTTTAGGCAGTAAATGTTATTATGTAAATTTGCATAGAAGGTAACCAAGCTCTAATAAGTGGGTGGTGAGGAATTTAACTTTATTATAGAGAGGTTTCTGAATTCCATATACAGTGATCATATTCATGTTTCATAGTATAGACTGGGTAGTTTAAAGAAAAAATTTCTTGCCTTATGCCTCTGGTGGGTGAAGTCTATGACCAAGTTGCCATTAGGGTTGATTTCTTCTGAGGTCGGCCTCCTCGACTTCCAGAAGGCTATGCTACCCCTCTGTGTTCCTAGGGTCTTCCCTGTGTGTACACTGTGTCCAGACTCCTTCTTTTTCTGAGGAGGCCAGCCGGACTGGATTCAGGAACCACCAAAGATGTCATTTTAACTTCGTTTTCTCCACAGAGAGCCAGTTTACACAGATAATTACAATTATGAGCTTCTAGTAGTTAAGGATGACAATATCATTTTAATTCTGTAATATTTCCACTATCAGACTGTGTATTGTAATACACAACAAGACACATATATGATGTATATAGTGCATTTCATATGTAGTCTCCTTAACCATGTGCTACAAATGTATTATCCATTTAATAATTATAATTTTAACAATTTTTAAACAGTAACAATTTAAACCAAGAATTCTGATGAGCTTCAATAGTTTGACTTTAATCAGAGATTCCTCTATCTAAATTGAATACACAATTATGTAAGTGTGCTTCCTTTCCTTTGTTTTTAAGCTTAACTCCTTTCTGAAGAACATCAAATTTGACAACAGTGTTGGTGATGAAGTGAATCTGGATCAGGAACGAGTTTTTAGGAAAGACTATGACATTCTCAACTACTGGAATTTCCCTCAAGGCCTTCACCTCCAAGTGAAGGTTGGAAAGTTTTCACCACGGGCTCCACATGGTCACCGTCTTTCCATATCTGAGGAGATGATAGAGTGGAATGTGGAGTTTAAAGAGGTCAGTTGCACAGATGAAATACCAGGTTTGTGGCTGGCACTGTGGCATAGGGGTACAGGTACTACTTGCAGCACTGGCATTCCACGTGAGAGTCAGTTCAAGTCCCTGCTGCTCCTTTTCCAATCCAGCTCCCTGATAATGCACCTGGGCACGCAGCAGAAGATGGCCTAAGTGCTTGGGCTTCTGATCCTTGTGGGAGACCTGGGAGAAGCTCTGGCTCCTGACTTTGGATCGGTTCAGCTCTGGCCATTGCAAATGTCTGGGGAGTGAACCAGAGTATGGAACATGTCTGTCTGTCTGTCTGTCTGTGTCTCTCTCTCATTCTCTCCCTGTAACTGTGCCTTTCCAATAAATAAATAAGTCTTTTCCAAAAGTATGCCAGTTTGTGCTTACAGAGAGATCTTCAGTACAGAGCTCCATGCTGGGAATTCTGCAGGTCCTGAGAGCATGGCAGAGCAGCACACAAGTGCATGCCAACTTCCCTTCTGCACTGCCATTTTGCTTACTCTGGTGATTTCCACTGAATGTCCAAGAAAATGTTTCCCTGTGGATAACTGAGTGTCACCTGCTGAAACAGAGTGCCCAGGCCATGAATGGAGTGTGCCGATTTCTTGTCCACCTGGATATTCTGACAATGCACAGTGGGAACAGAATCAGATAACCATGATGACACTTCTCAAGACTCTCTGATTTGTTTTAGATTCCCCGTTCTGTGTGCAGTGAGAGCTGTGGCCCAGGATTCAGGAAAACCCACCAGGAGGGACAGGCTGCCTGTTGCTTTGACTGTACCCCTTGTCCAGAGAATGAGATTTCTAATGAGACAGGTACAGAATTGAAGATTCTCTGTAGTTTTCATTAATTTAAGTTAAATTTAATTGGGCTTATGACTACCATGAAAGCACAGCATGAGATGCAAATTTGAAATTTGTTGGGGTCTTGAGAGAAAGAGCGTAGTGAAATCATGTGTTGAGGACTTGAAGGCTTCTGAGAACCAATCTCAGCCTGACTGTCCTTTGCCTGCTCACTCATATTGGTCATGAGGGATGCAAGTGAATCCAAACTCTGGCCTGTTTCACCCCATTGTTTGCCTCTGTGTAGTCATGACTGTAGGCACTCAGGTACAACGGTCCCTGTTTTTATTAATTTATTTTTTAAGCAGCCTACCCCGGCACTCTTTTATTCCCCTACAACAGGTGCCAGCACTTACCACAGAACACATGCAAGCTTTCCTGAAAGGGAACAGAGTGTGGGAGAGACTGCTTACTCTCCCAGTGTCCACAGCTAGAAATCAGGACATAGGGATTGGCCACGGGAAAATAGTCTAAATGAAAGAAGTACCCTAGAAGAGAGAGACCTCCAGTGGGAGTCTGGCATAGCTGCTAACTCATGTTGACATGTGTGCATTTCTACCAGAATGCTTGGTTCCAGTCTCAGCTCCTCCACTTCCATGCCAGCTCTGTGCTGCAGTGCGTGTTTCAAATTTCTTTATCTACTGGAAAAGCAGAGTTGCAGAGAGAGAGGGAGAGGGAGAGACATAGAAAGAAGTCTTCCATTCATTGATTCACTCCATAAGGGCCAGGACTGGGTCATGCTGAAGCCAGGAGGCTGGAACTCCATCCAGGTCTCCCATGCAGGTGCCAGGGGCCCAATACTTGAGTCCTCTTCTTCTGATATTCCAGGCACATTAGCTGGTAGCTGCATTGGAAGTGGAGCAGCTGGCACTGGTACAGGCATAGAGCATGCCAGCATTGTGGGCAGCAGCTTGACCAGCTCTGGCACATGCTATCCCCCCACCCCCGCTTCCTATCATGCATGCCCCGGAAGGAAGTAGATAATTACTTGAGTACTCAGATCCCTGCCACCCATCTGAGAGATCTGAATTCACTTCTAGGTTCCTGACTTCGGCCTGGCCTGTCCTTGGCAATGTCAGTCTATGGTTAATGAACCAGTAGAGGGCAAATCTCTCTCCCTCATTATTTTATATCTCTTCCCATTTCTGTTTCTCTAGTCATCTCTTTCTCTCTCTGCCTTATAATTAAGTACCATTAAATTAATATTTGACGTCAGTAAGGTTGCCAGGTAGCTAATCAGTATAGTAAGTAAGAGTTTCAATTTATGCAAGAAATACACTTGATATTAATTATAGCAGAAAGCAATGATTCCGCCGACACCAAGACATTCCTATAGTAACTTCGAGTTGAAATGAAGGTTACCAAAATTTGCTAATGCCTATAAAAGAATTGATGAAATGGAAGCGAGTGAAACAGGAATGAACTGCTAAAATGATACTCTATTTAGTGACAAGAAGACTCAAAATTAAATGTTATCAGTTCCTGTCATCTGTAAGGTGTCCACTGTGACATTCTAACAGACACTGGGAGTTGACAAAGTGTTCAGAAGGTTGAATGGAAGGATAGCAAGAGGACTGGATTCCAGACCACATTCAGAGTGGGGACATTGACTGTCACGTGTGAAAATGTATGTTATTGCTGAGACAGTGTTTCTTTCTTTACCTTTTGACACTCCTATGACCTCTGTATTCATATTCTGAAATGTTTTATAGTTATTGTGAATATCATAATTTATCTGTGGGGTTTCAGATATGCATCATATGTTAGTTGTGTTTTCCTGTGTGTACACCACAAAAGAAGCTAAAAGTTACTCTACTAACACATTTCCAGTATAGAGTATTATAAGCTGTAGTCATCATGTGTGCATAAGATTTCCAGACTTACTCATGGTCATTGAGCAACATAGGTATAGATGAAGGTTTTGTTGTGATACAGAAAACTACACTTTGAACATAAAAGCTAATCACAAAGGGGAAAAGGGAATATTATTGCTATTACCAAGCAAGGGAGAGAGAGAGTACATGCATGTGCTCAATGAGAGAGAGAAAAAGGAAGTCGGGGGGGGGGAGAAAGAGAGAGTGAGAGAGAGAAAAAGAAAAGAGAGAAAAAAGAAGAGGGGGTGGAAATGACATGAAAACATACTCCATGTAATAATCTCAGGTTGGTGTCTATTATGGCAACGGAGATAAATATGAATATTTTCCGTGACTGTGCTGAGTGAATGCTGAGAACCACTGCCAGCCAAATAATGCCCTGCCTGTCTCACCAGATGTGGAGCAGTGTGTGCGCTGTCTAGACGACCGTACCCAAATCCTGCATGAGATCGGTGCCTGCCCAAGGTCGTGGTGTTCCTGGCCTATGAAGACCCGTTAGGAGCAACACTGGCCGGGGTGGCTCTTGGCTTCTCTGTGCTCACTGCTCTGGTACTTGGGGTGTTTGTGAAGCACAGAAACACTCCCCTAGTCAAGGCCAATAACCGCAACCTCAGCTACACCCTGCTCGCCTCCCTGTGTCTGTGCTTCCTCTGCTCCCTGCTTTTCCTTGGCTGCCCCAACACAGCCACCTGCATCCTCCAGCAGACCACGTTTGCCATCGTGTTCTCAGTGGCTGTGTCCACCATCTTGGCTAAAATCATCACCGTGGTCCTGGCTTTCAAGGCCACAGCACCAGGGAAGAGGATGAGGCAGTGGTTGGTGTCAGGCGCACCCAACTCTGTCATTCCCATCTGCTCCCTCCTCCAAGTGATGCTCTGTGGAATCTGGCTGGGAACGTGTCCTCCCTTCATTGACACAGACACACATGCTGAGCCTCAGCAGCTCCTGGTCCTGTGCAACAAGGGCTCTGCCACTCTCTTCTACCTGTGCTGGGATACCTGGGGTCCCTGGCTCTGGGCAGCTTCTCAGTGGCTTTCTTGGCCAGGAGTCTGCCTGATACGTTCAATGAAGCCAAATACTTGACGTTCAGCATGCTGGTGTTCTGCAGTGTGTGGGTGACCTTCATTCCTGTGTATAATAGCACCAAGGGGAAGGTCATGGTGGCTGTGGAGGTCTTCTCCATCTTGGCCTCCAGTGCGGGACTCCTGGGCTGCATCTTTGCCCCCAAGTGCTACATCCTTCTGGTGCGGCCGGACAGGAATGTTTTACAAGGAATAAAGGAGAAAGCAAGGTGTAGTTAATGCAGACTGTGCATTAACTCACAGGTTTTATAAAATGAAAGCAAGGGCTGAATCTAACCACAGCACTCTGGTATGCAGGACTGAGGTAGAGCAGAACACTGCACCTTCTCATTGGACACGAGGCTCTCCTTTCTGTAACAGCTCAGGGCACTCCAGCCTTCTTTCTGTTCATCCTAACAACACGTAGGTTTTTGTCTTCTTGACTGTGTTAATTTAATTTCAATATCATACCTTAAAATTTCTAGTTCTTGTACATAAATTACTTTTCCAGTGCTTTTACTGTACAGGTTTTAATTGCACAATATATTTTGATATGGCTGTAAAGGTGAACTAATGACTAGAGTCAAACAAACTCACATATGCATCATTTGTGTAGTTGTATTTTCCAGTGTGTGCACCACTAAAGCAGCTAAAAGTTGCACTACTAACACATTTCCAGTATAGAGTACTATTAGCTGTAGTCATCCTGTTTGCCTCAGACTTACTCATTTCACTCACTACGGGCGGAATAGTGAGGGCGTGCATCGATAGTCCAGGAAAAGATAGTTTAATAAAAGTGGAGTTACGGTAGCCTCAGGAAAAGGAGCAGGGAGAAATTGCAGAGGAAACTCTTCCAGATCTAGTGGCTGTGACTCAGAGGACCTATGAGGAGAGCAAGGTCGCCCAGTGCATGGAAGCGGAGCCGCAGGACCCTCAGGACCCTCCGGACCCGCCGGAGCTGCAGAGTCTGCATGCCAGCACTGGAAGGGGAGGTGAGACAAAACCTCTCGGTAACCCAAGACATTGGCGGGGAAAGGCAGAAAGAGCCTGCAGAGAACGAGGCCTGAAACCCCATTAGGGAAAGTTCACCAGGCTGGCTGGAGGAGAGAAAAAAATCGAATAAATAAGGGGAACCTGCACGGACATTTAGCCTCTCTGTCCACTCACCTTACAAAGCCGAGCAAGACAAAGGACAGGCGCCATTTTTCATAAGTAAAGCGGTGCGTGCTATTTTGCATATGTAAAGCGGGTGCCCCTCATTAGCCAAGCAGAAAAACCTGACTCTGGTAAGCAAACGAATACCCACAGGGGCCAGATTTCATACATCAACTACTCTCAATTCCACTCAGCTTGTGGAATTACTTCCCAACTGAGTCGAGAGAGAGAGAGAGAGAGAGAGAGAGCAAGAGAACAATCAGGGTGAATCACCTTTGGCACACCCTTAACCCTGTAGAACCAGAGCTCTCTGGCCACACCCATTACAGCCTCTAAGGATCCATCAAAGCAGACAGTCTTCTTAATGTAGAATCACAGTATATCAAGAAAAAACCAAAGAAAATCTCCAATATGCCAAACAAATGCAAAAGCCGAGGTAACAAGAACAAGGAAGACACTATGACACCCCCCAAATGAAATAGACACCCCAATTCAAGATTATGAAGATGATGGGATAGAAGAAATGCAAGAAGCGGATCTCAAAAAATTTATGATAAGAACATTTAGAAGTTCTCAAAAACAAATTCTCGAACTACAGAAATCCTTAATGGACAAGATAAAAAATCTCTCTTATGAAAATGAAATATTAAGGAGGAATCAAAATGAAATGAAACAACTAGTAGAAAATGAAACTGTGATAGTGACGAGAAATCACAATGAAATCTAATGAAGAATTCAATAGATCAAATGACAAACACATTAGAGAGCCTTAAAAACAGAATGGGTGAAGCAGAAGAGAGAATATCGGACTTAGAAGACAGAGCACAGGAAAATATACAATCAAACCAAAGAAAAGAAGAAGAAATTAGAAATCTAAAACATATTGTCGGGAATCTTTAGGATACTATTAAAAAACCCATCATTCGGGTTCTAGGAGTTCCTGAAGGCATGGAGAGGGAGAAAGGATTAGAAGGCCTTTTTAGCGAGATACTAGCAGAGAACTTTCCAGGTTTGGAGAAGGACAGAGACATCCCAGTACAGGAAGCTCATAGAACCCCTAATAAACATGACCAAAAGAGATCCTCACCATGAACGTTGTAATTAAATTCACCACAGTGAAACATAAAGAAAAGATCCTAAAATGTGCAAGAGAGAAACGTCAGATTACTCTCAGAGGATCTCCAATCAGACTCACAGCAGACTTCTCATCAGAAACACTACAGGCTAGGAGGGAATGGCGAGACATAGCACAGGTACTAAGAGAGAAAAACTACCAGCCCAGAATATTATATCCTGCAAAGCTCTCATTTGTGAATGAAGGTGAAATAAAGACCTTCCACAACAAACAGAAATTGAAAGAATTTGTGGCCACTCGTCCAGCCCTGCAAAAGATGCTTAAAGATGTGTTACACACAGAAACACAGAAACACGGTCATCAATATGAAAGAAGGTAAATGAAGGAAATCTCACACCAAAAGATCACAGGACGTTCAAAACATGTATCAGAAAATATCTTTGGCAAATGGCAAGGCAAAGCTACTACTTATCAATAGTCACATTGAACGTTAATGGCCTGAACTGTCCAGTTAAAAGACACCGATTGGCTCATTGGGTAAAGGAACAAAACCCATCTATTTGCTGCTTACAAGAAACACATCTTTCCAATAAAGATCCATACAGACTGAAAATGAAAGGCTGGAAAAAGATATACGATGCCAACAGAAATGAAAAAAGAGCGGGCATAGCCATCTTAATATCAGACAACATAAACTTTACCACAAAAACTGTTAGGAGAGACAAAGAGGGGCACTATATAATGATTAAGGGATCAATTCAGCAGGAAGATATAATGATTATCAATGTATATGCACCTAATTACAGGGCACCGGTTTATTTAAAATATTTGTTAAGGGACTTAAAGGGAGACTTAGACCCCAATACAATAGTATTGGGAGCCGTCAATAGCCCACTCTCATAGATTACAGATCAACAGGACAGAAGATCAACAAGGAGACAGTAGATTTAAATGACACTGTAGCCCAAATGGATGTAACAGATATATACAGAACTTTTCATCCTACACAGAAAGCATTCACATTCTTCTCAGCATTACATGGAACCTTCTCCAGGATTGATCACATACTAGGCCATAAAGCAAGTCTCAGCAAATTCAAAAGAATTAGAATCATACCATGCAGCTTCTCAGACCATAAAGGAATGAAGTTGGAGATTAGCAACTCAGGAATCCCTAGAGCCTATGCAAACACATGGAGATTGAACAACATGCTCATGAATGAACACTTGGCCATAAAAAAAATTAAAAGACAAATAAAAATTTTCTGGAAGTAAATGAAGATAACAGCACAACATACCAAAACTTATGGGATACAGCAAAAGCAGTGTTAAGAGTAAAGTTTATATCAATAGGTGCCTACATCAAGAAATTGGAAAGGCACCAAACAGATGAGCTTTCACTGCATCTCAAGGATCTAGAAAATCTGCAGCAAACCAGACCCAAATCTAGTAGGAGAAGAGAAATAATTAAAATCAGAGAAGAAATCAACAGGATTGAATCCAAAACAACATTAGAAATATCAGGCAAACGAGGAGTTGGTTTTTTGAAAAAATAAACAAAATTGACACCCCATTGGCCCAACTAACTAAAAAAAGAAAAGACACAAATCAATAAAATCAGAGATGAAAAAGGAAATGTAACAACAGACACCACAGAAATAAAAAGAATCCTCAGAAATTACTACAAGGACCTGTATGCCAGCAAACAGGGAAACCTATCAGAAATGGATAGATTCCTGGACACATGCAACCCACCTAAATTGAACCAGGAAGACATAGAAAACCTAAACAGACCCATAACTGAGACAGAAATTGATACATAATAAAGGCCCTCCCAACAAAGAAAAGCCCAGGACCAGACGGATTCACTGCTGAATTCTACCAGACCTTTAAAGAAGAACTAACTCCAATTCTTCTCAAACTATTCAGAACAATCAAAAAAGAGGGAATCCTCCCAAATTCTTTCTATGAAGGCAGCATCACCTTAATTCCTAAGCCAGAAAAAGATGCAGCATTAAAAGAGAATAACAGACCAATATCCCTGATGAACATAGATGCAAAAATCCTCAATAAATTTCTGGCCAATAGAATGCAACAACACATCAGAAAGATCATCCATCCAGACCAAGTGGGATTTATCCCTGGTATGCAGGGATGGTTCAACATTTGTAAAACAATCAATGTGATTAACCACATTAACAGACTGCAAAAGAAAAACCATATGATTATCTCAATAGACGCAGAGAAAGCATTTGATAAAATACAACACCCTTTCATGATGAAAACTCTCAGCAAACTGGGTATGGAAGAAACATTCCTCAATACAATCAAAGAAATTTATGAAAAACCCACAGCCAGCATCCTATTGAATGGGGAAAAGTTGGAAGCATTTCCACTGAGATCTGGTACCAGACAGAGATGCCCACTCTCACCACTGCTATTCAATATAGTTCTGGAAGTTCTAGCCAGAGCTATTAGGCAAGAAAAAGAAATTAAAGGGATACAAATTGGGAAGGAAGAACTCAAACTATCCCTCTTTGCAGATGATATGATTCTTTATTTAGGGGACCCAAAGTACTCTACTAAGAGACTATTGGAACTCATAGAAGAGTTTGGCAAAGTAGCAGGGTATAAAATCAATGCACAAAAATCAACAGCCTTTGTATACACAGGCAATACCATGGCTGAGGAAGAACCTCTATGATCAATCCCATTCACAATAGCTAAAAAAAAATCAAATACCTTGGAATAAACTTAACCAAGGACGTTATAGATCTCTACAATGAAAATTACAAAACCTTAAAGAAAGAAATAGAAGAGGATACCAAAAAATGGAAAATCTTCCATGTTCATGGATTGGAAGAATCAATATCATCAAAATGTCCATTCTCCCAAAAGCAATTTACAGATTCAATGCTATACAAATCAAGATACCAAACACCTTCTTCTCAGATCCGGAAAAAACGATGCTGAAATTCATATGGAGACACAGGTGACCTCAAATAGCTAAAGCAATCTTGTACAACAAAAACAAAGCTGGAGGCATCACAATACCAGATTTCAGGACATACTACAGGGCAGTTGTTATCAAAACAGCATGGTACTGGTACAGAAACAGATGGATAGACCAATGGAACAGAATTAAAACACCAGAAATAAATCCAAACAGCTACAGCCAAGTCATATTTGATCAAGGACACAAAACCAATCCCTGGAGTAAGGACAGTCTATTCAATAAATGGTGCTGGGAAAATTGGATTTCCATGTGCAGAATCATGAAGCAAGACCCCTACCATTCACCTTACACAAAAATTCACTCAACATGGATTAAAGACTTAAATCTACGACCCGACACCATCAAATTAGTAGAGAGCATTGGAAAAACCCTGCAAGATATAGGTACCGGCAAAGACTTCTTGGAAAATACCCCAGAAGCACAGGAAGTCAAAACCAAAATTAACATTTGGGATTGCATCAAATTGAGAAGTTTCTTTACTTCAAAAGAAACAGTCAGGAAAGTGAAGATGCAACCGACAGAATGGGAAAAAATATTTGCAAACTATGCAACAGATAAAGGGTTGATAACCAGAATCTACAAAGAAATCAAGAAACTCCAAAACATCAAAACAAACAACCCACTTAAGAGATGGGCCAAGGACCTCAATAGACATTTTTCAAAAGAGGAAATCCAAACATCTAACAGACACATGAAAAAATGTTCAGGATCACTAGCAATCAGGGAAATGCAAATCAAAAGCACAATGAGGTTTCACCTCACCCCGGTTAGAATGGCTCACATTCAGAAATCTACCAACAATAGATGCTGGAGAGGATGTGGGGGAAAAGGGACACTAACCCACTGTTGGTGGGAATGCAAACTGGTCAAGCCACTATGGAAGTCAGTCTGGAGATTCCTCAGAAACCTGAAGATAACCCTACCGTTCGACCCAGCCATCCCACTCCTTGGAATTTACCCAAAGGAACTTAAATTGGCAAACAAAAAAGCGGTCTGCACCCTAATGTTTATTGCAGCACAATTCACAATAGCCAAGACCTGGAACCAACCTAAATGCCCATCAACGGTAGACTGGATAAAGAAATTATGGGATATGTACTCTTTAGAATACTATACCGCAGTAAGAAACAACAAAATGCAGTCATTTGCAACAAAATGGAGGAATCTGGAACACATCATGCTGAGTGAAATAAGCCAATCCCAAAGGGACAAATACCATATGTCCTCCCTGATTGGTGACAACTGACTGAACACCAAAAAGGAAACCTGTTGAAGTGAAATGGACACTATGAGAAATGGTGACTTGATCAGCCCTTGCCCTGACTGTTGATGAACAACTTAATACATTATTCCTCTTAGTATTTTTTTTTGTTTGTTCTACTTAATATGACTGGTTTAATTCTGTAATTAATACACAGTTATTCTTAAGTGTTGAAAATTAACTGAAATGTGATCCCTGTTAAACATAAGAGTGGGAATAAGAGAGGGAAGAGATGTACATTTTGGGACATGCTCAAGCTGACTTGCCCCAAATGGTAGAGTTAGAAACATACCAGGGGATTCCAATTCAATCCATCA